AGCCTGGAGGACGGTACTATCTAATACCAGAAATAATTTTTATTAAAATGTGGAAGGAATTTAAGCTGTTGTCAGCCTACCGAATACATTTTTAAGTTTTTAATATCTACCTATTAAAAATATTTTTTTATTATTATTATTATTTTTTTTTTTTTTGGTTTGGACTACCTAACGCTGCTATTTTTTTATTATTGTTTGTTTGTATTGCGCTTTTCGCTTGTTCTTTACCTAATTTATTAATGTACAAATATGCGGTGGCGGATTTTAGGGGATCGACGTGGAGATTAACCACTCCCTTAGGGCTTTATTTTACTTCAATTATAGCGCCGTATGATAAAGTGAAAATGAAATTCATAAGTCATAACACTATCACTTCAAAATTAATAAATGATACAAATAAGGTATATATTTTAATATGAAAATCGGAAATGTGTATTCAGTTAGTCCTTGTTACTACCTATCAATCTATGATACCAATTTGCCCTCTCCTTAAATGATCATCGGATCCACTACTACAAATATGTACAATAAACTATTGTTTTATCAAATATTATATATAGACTAGTGTTGACAATTATTGATCTAGGTATGCGTCTGAACCAGAAATTAAGATATTATCACTGATAAATATAATTATTTAAATGTATTTTCTACTGAAACATGACGTAAGTACCTATTATTGCTATCAAAATGGGAATATTAATAATAATATTTAAAAATGACTTTTTAAGTAACTGAATGTACCTACATAAAATGTTATTGGAAACAATGTTAAAAAATAAAGTGAACATAAAATATAAATTCATTTATTCTTGACTGTGGCTAAAAATACTACAATACTTACCTATTTAAATAGGTATTGGACGGTGGTTAGCTGTAAATTAAATCTAAATTTCCGTATCTTGAAATCGTATAGGTGGCTACTATACAGGTGTATATGTTAACATTAAACAAAACGTATAGTACTATAATGAATAATAATTAATGCTACCTATATCATGGTTACAAACTAAATCTTTCAAATTAAAAATTCCAAAAGCTCCATATAGTTCTTATATGAAAAACTTTGTATACAAGCTTAAGTTWTACAAATTTGATGTTTTATGCATTTTTTAACTACAAATTAATTACTGTGGTTTTGTCAAAATGTTAACTTAAAATGTTTATAAAAATAATCGTGCTTAAGTATCGTAAATATTTTTAAATATACATAGTAAAACTTATCAAGAAACCTTGTTTTAGAATTTTAAACTTTTTAATCGAACGAATAGTTCGAAAAAAACGAAAAAAAGTTTTATTGACATTTTTAGAAAAAAAAACTAAAGTTAATCAAATTAAAATTAAATTAAAGATTATTCAAATACTACCGAAGCCTGTTTAACCAAGGTTACTAAATAATTAAAATTTTTTTTTTTAATTGTGTTTCTCGATTATTTTAAAAAGTAGTGAAAATTTTCAATTTTGAATTTTATAAAGTCATCCATTAATTAAATCATATATTAAATTCACCCTATGGATGTTTTTGAATTCTGTTTGCGTTTCATAAGATTTTGATTTACAATTAGTTAACTCTTGTGTTTCGAATCTGCGCTACAACTATACTCCACTTATTTTTTGTATACCCTGCTTTCGCAAACACTGTGTATTTTATATCTAATGTATGCGCTTAAACCTATTTAGATGCAAATGTTTATAAAACATTACTATCGATAACCTTATTAGATAATTATTATAACCAAATCCCTGAATCTATATTGGGTCATAGTCAGCCTGGTTTTTGGTGATTCTGACCCATGGGCCATGAAGTTTATTTTCTTTTTTTGTGTAATATTTTGAATTTTAACCGACAGTGGCTAAAAAGTAATAAAACGTATGAGTATTCTAAAAACGTATGTGTAGGGGCTATAATCTACTTCCCCTAGATACGGCAATTATGAGGTACTTACTCATCATATTTTTTTTTTTAMAATATCTAATATATTTCTGTACAGAAACACTCTTTATTTTAATTTATCTAAATCGCATTCAGTGAACAACATTAATAAAACAGCCGTTTGGAACGCACATTTTTTACGCTTTTTCGGCCCCTTTACTTGTACTCGTATTATCGTGTATAACACCGAAGTCGATTAATTTTAATGTCAAACACTTTATTGTGACACAATAAAATTACGGTCGACCGCTAAAAACCAAACCACGCGCATTGTACCTTCTCGTACCGCAGTATGACAATAATATTGCATTTAACGCGTGTAAATGCATTACGCGTAAACGCATCGCTACCATTGGCCGTATAGAATAGTAGACAAAATCAGAAAATAATGCTGGAATTTGAGTTAGTATTAAACGTTATATTATTCATACCRTTACCATAATTTTTTAACCCCCTGACCCGCGGCTACCGAACGTTAAACGTTCAAATACAGTTTAGTACAAACACAATTATCTTGTTAGGTACACGATTGTTTTGCACCGTTGTAATTGCGAGCAAAATAAATACTTTCCAATCGTCCACTGCGGCGCTTCCTAAATACTCGGGTAAACAAAACGAAAAAAAATAATCAGAGCCATCGAAAAGTGCGTCTGCTTTTAGTGTAAAAATAATTTGCTACCTGTTACTCGGTAACCATATTATATACGAAGTCATGCACACGCGCACGCCCCTCCGACCAACCAAACTGGTACGTTTTAACAACAATAATGTAATTTGAACACGAAAATTATGTACCCACTTTACTCTTACCCATACTAAATT